TGGAGGTCTGCTGTCCAGCCCCCTCAGAGCCCTTCTGTGGCTGTCACCTGCTGTGCAGCGCTGGCTCCCCTGGCTCCTGACTGGCTCTTGAACCCCATCCATTCCAGCCAGGTCAGACTCTGCCCTTTAGAAAATCTGCCCCTTGCCTCCATTTCATTTTACACGTGTCCCTTCTTGTGGGGTCCCACCTGCATAGTTTGCAGGCAGACCCCAATCCATCCATTTATGCTCCGCCCAAAGACTCTTCTTCAGTAGGAACCCTTCCTCGGGTGATCCTGGGGGACATGAACTGTAGTGGCTCACGTAACTAATTACCTGCAGATACCTGTACAGCTTTCAAGGCAGCATGTTGTGGAGTTGAGTGTTTTCCTTTCTGGTACCATCCTGTGTGTTGAGCCCGTGGACTGTCTATTTAATCTCCACATTTAGCAGCTTTTCTCCCCGCTGAGACAAAATACCTGATCAAAAGCAGCTCAAGGGGAAAAGCGTTTATTTTGGTTAAGGTTTAAGAAGAGATACAGCCCATCTTGTCAAGGGGGGCACAGTAGCAAGACGGCGAGGTCGATGGTCACGTGGTGCCCACAGTTGGGAAGCAGAGAGGTGCATGCCGGCGCTCAGCTGACTGTCTCCTTTGTGTTCAGTCTGGACCCTCAGCCCATGGCATGGCACTGCCCACCCTCAGGGTGGCTCTTCCCGCCTTAGTTAAACCTCTCTGGTAATGATCTCACAGACATGCCCAGAGTGGTGTGTCCTAGAGGATTCTAAATCCAATCGAGTTAAGCCCAAGACCAGCCATCACAGTTTGTCACTCCCAGAGTTCCTTGAGCATAGTAGACCCTCAGTAAACTCTTGTTGGATGAATGAATGGAAACAACTGTTGGGGCCTTAAAACTTCACGAAGACGGTACATTACGGAATTGTCCAAACTCCCTGTGTAAAGCATCTTTATGCGTTTGGCTATACACTCCATCTGGTTCTCTTGGCAGTAGCCTTGTGCTCCTGGGATAAAGGGAGCAGGAGAGGGAGCAGGTGCCGGAGCGCAGGAGAGTATCAGAACCCTCTCCTCAGTGTGTGAGGTCCCAGGGTGCTTGATCCCCAAACATTCCAGCGCCTCTGAAGGTGAGCTGGGAGGATGGGGAAACATCTTAACATCTGCAGCCGAATCTAGCCCATAATACAACCTGAGACCTGGCCAAAGCCAGGACTTGCTCCTTCTCTGCACTTTCCCGGTTTGGCCAGCCGGGTTCCGTTGTCCTTGACCCTTGCCGACAGGCACTGCCCAGTCTGCAGTCTCGGGATTGCAGTGTGACTCTGACCGATCTCGTCCAGTGGCCGGCTTTGCTTGTTCCCTCCTCTCCCCAGAGAGTACCAGGCACACCGAAGGGTGATTAAACAAAGATTAAAATTCCATCTGGGCTTGGGAGTGAGTGGCTGTTGGAACGTTCATCAATTCTTTTAGAATGCTGAGAAAAAGCACAGGGTTCCAGAGACAGTTACTTAGCACGGTCAGCATGCATTTGCAGTTTGCTGTCTAATGTGATTTCCAGTTCATTCAGCCAGCACCCCTCCCCCCAGCTCACACCCCTCACAGCACTTCTTCCCTTCCCCTCCCATAGCAAGAGAGCATTCTGGAAGCCAGAGGGGAGGAAAGGTGGTAGAAAATGATTGCAAACAAAGAAAATGATCTCAGCTTTCAGAGGTACACGGTTGGGTGTGTGGTGTTACAGAAACTTCAGACCACTTCTGGATTAAAGGCCGAGGTGATCTTTTCTGGACTAGGATGAAAGCACTATTGCTTATGAGTTGCTGTTTTTGGAACTGGGGAGATGGCTTAGTGGGTAAAGCATTTGCTATGCAAGCGAGGAGACCTGAGTTCGAATTCTCATGACGCTTGTAAAAGCCAGGTGCTGTAGCAGCTGTCTGTAATCCCAGGGTTCCTATGACAAGATAGGGGTGGAGACAGGGAACTTTCCAGAAGCTGGCAGACAGCCTGGTGTACAGAGCCCTGCTCAAACAAGGTGGGAGGCGAGGACTGACATCCAAGGGTGTCCTCTGACCTCCACATGTAGGCCATGGCACATGTGGACCCACATTCGTGTACACTAATGTACACATACATGCACACCCATATATGCACACACACAAATTGCTGTCTTCTGAGGAGACTTGCCCTGGCCTTTCTTGCTGTTAAAGGTGTCGTGGTGCTCTGTTCCCGTTACAGAATGCCTCTGTGACTAAGAACACTAAATCCAGCATTTCCGTGTGAGCATGTAACATCCCGCATGTGAGGAGACCATTGTTGTCCGGTGTTTGGTAGTTGCCTCTGCCGACGCACAGTGTTGTGTCTAGGTCCCCATTCCCACGCCTGTTCTGGCATCCAAACACCAAGATGCACCTTGTTTTCATAGACATTCTTCAAGGACAGGGTATTTATTAATGGTGCGCTGAGAGGACTTGACTTTGTCCCAGACACTGAGCTTAGTGCTGTGTACAGGTCAACTGAGTGCTTCCTCCCCAACATGCTGGGGCCAGGGGGAGTCCATAGATCCTGCTTCCATTAGTGTTTGCAATTTGTCAGCCTTGGAAACTAGGTCTACCCTCCCTGAAAGGAAAACCAAGATATTTCCAGTTCTAGAACCAGAATGCTTCACGTCATTAAACTAGGCCACCTGCCTCAGTCCTTCATCCATGTATCCATCCATCCATCCGTCATCCCCTGTCCATCCGTCTGTCATGCATCTGTCCATCCATCCTCTGATCACTCATCCATCTGTCCATGCGTGATGAACCGGCAAGCTCCCGTTTCCGGCCTTCTGGCCTCCTCTAACTTCTTCCAGACAGTTCCATTTCATCCTAGCACCAGTCTAGCTCTGGGGGATTTCTGTCCTGTCACAGGACCATCTGCCATCCTTTAGTAACTTCTCCCAGTGGTGCTCATTCCAGTCTTCAAACCTCAGAGGACAGGGTGACTCCTCTCATCCCCTGATTCCCCCAACCTCCCAGGAGCCTAGTCCTCAGACAGGCTAATCTTCTTACCCAGGGTACTTTACGGAAC